AAATGGAATAGACAACAGGTGGAAATTATAGGCAATTAGCAAGACACCCCCAATAAAGGACTGGTTTTGCAGGTGGTGACCACAGACCACTTCTCAGTTCCTATGCTTCCTGGCTGATGTTTTGGTCACTTTTGAATGCTGGCTGTGCTTTCACTCTAGTGGTAGCATGAGACGGAGTCTACAACCCACACAAGTGGCTCAGGTAGTGCAGCTCATCCAGGATGGCACATCAATGCGAGCTGTGGCAAGAAGGTTTGCTGTGTCTGTCAGCATAGTGTCCAGAGCATGGAGGTGCTACCAGGAGACAGGCCAGTACATCAGGAGACGTGGAGGAGGCCGTAGGAGTGCAACAACCCAGCAGCAGGACTGCTACCTCCGCCTTTGTGCAAGGAGGAGCAGGAGGAGCACTGCCAGAGCCCTGCAAAATGACCTCCAGCAGGCCACAAATGTGCATGTGTCTGCTCAAACGGTCAGAAACAGACTCCATGAGGGTGGTATGAGGGCTCGACGTCCGCAGGTGGGGGTTGTGCTTACAGCCCAACACCGTGCAGGACGTTTGGCATTTGCCAGAGAACACCAAGATTGGCAAATTCGCCACTGGCGCCCTGTGCTCTTCACAGATGAAAGCAGGTTCACACTGAGCACATGTGACAGACGTGACAGAGTCTGGAGACGCCGTGGAGAACGTTCTGCTGCCTGCAACATCCTCCAGCATGACCGGTTTGGCAGTGGGTCAGTCATGGTGTGGGGTGGCATTTCTTTGGTGGGCCGCACAGCCCTCCATGTGCTCGCCAGAGGTAGCCTGACTGCCATTAGGTACCGAGATGAGATCCTCAGACCCCTTGTGAGACCATATGCTGGTGCGGTTGGCCCTGGGTTCCTCCTAATGCAAGACAATGCTAGACCTCATGTGGCTGGAGTGTGTCAGCAGTTCCTGCAAGAGAAAGGCATTGATGCTATGGACTGGCCCGCCCGTTCCCCAGACCTGAATCCAATTGAGCACATCTGGGACATCATGTCTCGCTCCATCCACCAACGCCACGTTGCACCACAGATTGTCCAGGAGTTGGCGGATGCTTTAGTCCAGGTCTGGGAGGAGATCCCTCAGGAGACCATCCGCCACCTCATCAGGAGCATGCCCAGGCGTTGTAGGGAGGTCATACAGGCACGTGGAGGCCACACACACTACTGAGCCTCATTTTGACTTGTTTTAAGGACATTACATCAAAGTTGGATCAGCCTGTAGTGTGGTTTTCCACTTTAATTTTGAGGGTGACTCCAAATCCAGACCTCCATGGGTTGATAAATGTGATTTCCATTGATAATTGTTGTGTTATTTTGTTGTCAGCACATTCAACTATGTAAAGAAAAAAGTATTTAATAAGATTATTTCATTCATTCAGATCTAGGATGTGTTATTTTAGTGTTCCCTTTATTTTTTTAGCAGTGTATATGCGGCAACAGACCAGAATGGGTATTTTCATACATATCGGTTTTACTGTTTAAAAATGAATGCACTTTATGTATGTAGTCCCCCCATTTAAATGTGTCATAAGTATTTGGACAAAATCAACGTGAATAATGGTGAGTGAGAAAGCTACAGATGCACAAAGATCATACCCCCAAGACATGCTATCCTCCATTACTAATAACAGGGGAGGTTAGCATTTTTTTTTTGTGGGGGGGGGGGGGGGGGGGGGTATGATATTCATGCCTATGTAACTTCCTCACTCATCATCATTAATGATTCATTCATGATTATTCGTAATCATGGTAGAATACACATTTATGTAGAAGTGTTTAGAAACATATTCTATTCTTATTTACAATAGAAGTGACTCCAAAATGACACAATACATTATTTACCATTCATTTCTATTGGGCACAACATAATATGAAACACAACCAAAGCAAACCGCAAATGCATCCAACAAATCTGTGGAGTCACAAGCTAGGAATATGGGACCAAATACTTAACTTTTGACTAAATGTAATACACTGTAAGTGAATTTGTCTAAATACTTATGACATTTTCAAATGGGGGGACTATTTACATAGCATACTTTCATTTCTAAACAGTAAAACGGATGTGTATGAAAATACCCTCAAATAAAAGGTGACATTCTATACTGTCGCCACATATAAAACATTTGATGTCAAATCCAAATAGCTGGAGTATAGAGCCAAATTAAACATTTTAGCTTCACTGTCCAAATAAATACGTAGGGGAGTGTATGTGCGTGTGTGTGTATGAGGACAGTTCAGCAACAGCAAAGGACCTAGGGATTGCATGTAATTGCGCTTCTGTAGACGTTTGAGCGACTAGGACCAAAAAGAGGGAGGGTTACTCAGCTATGTACTACACAAGCAAGCCAGGCCAGGGAGGGACAGCAGTGACATCAGGACAGGGCAAGGGTCTGTTATGATGAGAGGGCAAAGGTCAAGGGCAGGTTGATTGCAGAATCAAAAGAAGGGGCCTTACACTGCTACAGCAAGAGATAACGTTACACGTATGTTACAGTCTGTGTGTGTGTGTGGGTGTGTGTGCGTATTGTGTTAGCGGGAGGTTTATTGTCTCTCTGGCTGATATACACACAGAGAGGTTAGAGTTGAAGATTCAAAGGGACAAAACACAAAAGGGTCATCATGCATGCTATTGACCTGATAAACAAACAACCAATCAATATCAGGGGTAGAGGTCACTGTGATGCAGTGATCAATTGTGACTAGATGAGTTAATGTTGTGATCTGAAAGGACCAACCGATCGAGAAGGGACCGAGGGAGAAATCACCCATCAGTTCTTAGTAAATACACAGATATAGTGTATATAAGAATGAGAGAAAGGGAAATATTAGAGAGGGATAAGGAGTGGACAGAAGAAGGGAGAAAAGGGAGAGCAATAAGAACAGAGACCAAAAATTGAGGATGGGAATTAGAGAAAGGGAGAGAGATTTGAGGGAAGGAGAAAAAAAGCCCCAAACATCACTTTCATCCCCTGAGTTCCTCTTCCTGTCTCCAGGTTTCCCAGGCTCCTCTGGGAGAAGAATGAGATGAAAGGCTGACTCTACGGGTGTCGACTCCGAGCTATAAAACCCAAATAAGGGAAATTAGATGAATGAGAGGAGAGCCACGGCTGTAAAACTCACTCACGCATTCCACCAGCGTGAAAGGAGCAAGCAGGGTTTGGTCGTGATAGACTGTTTTCTAATTAGCTGTGTCCCTACCTGTAACTACAATTCTATTTCACAGAGAAAATGGAAAACATCAGTGGTGCCAACTGACTTGCTGAAGAGTAGAATAGTGTATTCTGTGGAGCTGTTGTCTGTGCTGGATGGACTAAAGTGTCAATCACAACAGACACATTAATCAAAAATCTGTTCAAGATTGGTTCCCACTGGCCGAAGCACGCAAAAGCAATATATCATTACGCTACATCACATGCCCAATGAAGCATATAGTGCCCGGCTCAGACCTGTGAATATATGCGTCCAATCATCCAAGGCCTGTCATTATCAAAGTGAAATGCCACTAAGCATTGTGTGTGTGTGCTTATACTGTACCTGTGTAACGCTTATAACTGTTCATAAGCCTGCCTTATGGGTTACGACTATCTCATCTCGGTTTGTGGGGTAGATACACTACGATAACTGACCTCACTTGACTGCAACCAGAAATATTCTGAAATAAAACAGGAACTCATTTAGAATAGAAGCTATAGCTAGAATATTTCACTTCTTCGGTCAACAATACAAACCAAATGCTACAGAAATCAAACTCTACGACAAGCAAAACTATTATGGTAAAACGTTATTTTTAAACTCCCGCTGCTTTTAGTAATTTTTTTCAAAGCAAACCGTTAGAATTCAAAAAATATATATTTGTGTCCGTCTCTAAAGCTGCAGGCTGGTTTATGGAGGTTTGAAACAGGTCAGAATAATGGTGACTGGGTTCTTTGTGGGATTTCTCTGATCTGAAATTCCACAGACAAAGTGCTCGTCTCCACCTGAACCAAAGTACAAAACTAGCTTTAAAAAATGTAAAAAATGTTAATTATCAATTAATGGAAAGATAATAAATATCTTTGCACTTTCAAGCTGAAGACAGAGGTTGCTATTCAGTTAGTGGCTCTCAACATCGTTTTAAACTTCTAAAAGCTACATTAGAGGAGGTTTGCACAGCATTAAGATAGCAACAGAAGAGAGCACTGCAGCAGCGAATGTGGGCATTGTCACCAAATAAACCAAACTAATGTGTATACTCTGGGTTACATAAAGAGTTATATCTGGCCACCCAAACATGTCTTCAGCATGGGCGTAGAAGTGGGAACATGCAAAAAAAACACATCATCACTCTTGCTGATTCTAGGACACCCGGGAACATTCAATAACAGCAAGAACAATATTCTCAAGCAAAGAGCCTATGAATATTCTGGAACCCGAGAATATGGTATTCTAGAACATGAGGAGAGAGGACAGGAGTGGAACACAGAACAGAACAGTCTCTGACAGAAGGGCCAGGGGACGGAACATACTGCAGAATCTCGCCTTCCTGTTGTGAACGTATTTACATCCAATGTGTCTCTGGCCTCAAAGACAGACACGAGACTCCCAGAGACACAGACAGATAGAGAGAGAGAAAGGGGAGATGAGCGAGGTACAGGGCGCAAGAGCAAGAAAGAGAGAGCAATCTTAGTTGGGGACAGTTGAAGCAGAGGGAAACACATTAAAAGAGACTAGACAGTCTTTGTTTGAATTTAATAGGTCTCTATTATCTGAAGGAGAGTAGGAGGGGGACACATTCTATGAAGGTCGAGTAGGAGAGGATTAACAAAGAGAAAGTTTCAATGAAGTTATGAACAAGAGGAAGGGAAAGTCAGTTGGAGATGGACTGATGCTGAGGAGTAGGGGGTGGGACGAAGGAGACGCTGGAATGGCTTCAGGTCTGTGCAGAGTTAACGGGAGTCCCTGGTTGGTTGATGGGAGAGCAGGTGGGGGCGGAGCTACCAGACGTAGCCAATCTCGTCATCTTTGTCATCTTCCTCGTCCTCGTCATCCTCAATGGCCCCTCTGGGATGGATCCGGCCCCGCCTCTGCTTCTGCCGGCTCCTCCCACTCCGAGGTGGCTCCTCCTCCTGGTCATCAAGGAGAAGGACGCCGCCCCCGCTGCCAAAATCCCCCGAGGTCTCTTGGTCCTCCTCTACACAGAGACAAAGAGACAGACAGGTTAGACACACGGACAGACAGAGACAGACAGGTTAGATAGGGCCTACAGAGACAGGGAAATAGACAGGTTAGAGACAGAGACAGAGAGACAGACAGGTTAGATACCGAGACAGACAGACGGGTAACAAAGAGAGAGACAGGTAGGCAGGCAGAGAGACAGAAACTGAAAGACAGAGAAAGAGACAAAATACGCCTGAGAAAGGCAGACAGAGTGACAGACCGACAGACTGACCGACAGACCGACCGACAGACAGCCAGACCGACAAACAAACAAACAAACAAACAACCAATCCACATACAGCTTCCTTTGATTGAGATGTGCTATTCCGACAACACAATGCATGATGAGTGTAAATAACGGCATCTTCCTCCAGTGGTCCGTGTGAGCCTGAGCTCTACTTTATCCCAGCTCACGATCTCAAAGCATGAAACCTTTCAAAGGAACACTGTTGAATCCCAAATACATGAGCAGGGAATCAGAGGCAGCCAGAGGCATTCAGCTATAGATAGATTAGACTTCACAGGCTTCACCAGGCTGTTCTCAGGTCTGTCTGGGTGATTACACATCTTCTATTAGCAGCAGGGTTTACCACACCAACATTCAGTCTGGCAATTGTCACAGAAGATTAGTCTCTTTGTCAAATGGAACTACGCTTCAGAGATAGGAGGACACACAAATGCCCACCACACTCCACAAACAACAACAACAACAACATGATGACAAAGGCAACTTCTGTTCCTCTAAAAGGCCTGGAGAGTATTTGTTTTGTGGGAGACACTCACAAACATTTGCGCCATAAAAAGGCTCTAACAGAACAGAGACCTTGTCATTGAGATTCCCCACATGCTTCAGTGGTATCTTTAAAGAAAGACTCAGCGAGCTGGCTGCCTCCAGCACCCCAGATTACACAGACCTAGATAACACACTCACACACACAGCAACACCTGTATCAAAGAGCACACTCATAGAGACAGATGAGACACATTGTAAAAGGAATCCTGGAGGGGTGTTTGTGTGTGTGTTTGCGTGTGCTCTTGTGCTGAAAAGTGTTAGAAATGTTATGTCGGGTTCAAATACTATGTGAAATCTTTAAAATACTTTGAGCGTTTGCTCTAGCCTGCCTGGAATGCCAAATCGGCGAGATCTGCAGTTTTGGTGCTATTCTATTGGTCCATTAAGCCAGGCAAGCTCAATCAAACACAGATAAAGTATTTGGAATGACTCACAATAGTATTTGAAGCCAGCTCTGGTGCATAGAGTACGAATATTGGTTATATGTGCTTGTGTACATGATTGTGTGTTGTGTGTGTGTGTTTGTGTGTGTGTGTGTGTGTGTTGACTGATGGGCCTTACCACAGGTGGGGTTGCCCTGTTTTCTGGAGCCGGCGATCTCGTTGCCGTATTTGTCCACACACCAACACTGTCCAGTATTGCCATGACACTGGGTTGGCTTAAAGTAACCCTCCTCAGAACAGCGTGGAATATAGGCCCCTAGAGAGAGGGAGGGAGAGGTTGTTGTGAGGGAGAGAGAGAGAGATTGTCAGAGATAAAGAGATTGACACAGGCGTGTAGGCACGGATGGGTCTGGTTGGGCCCAGGCCCACCCAATCAGATTGAGTTAGTCAGTATTATCATTCTCTCCTTGTCAGTGTTCCAAACTGGATATTCTTAGTTTTTTTTTTACCTAAACACAGTACTTGACTTGGGCAGTAGCTCACGGGAACTGCGTACCGGCACCTCCAATGTTATTCTGCTTGAGTCCCTGCACTTCCTATAGAATATTAGCTCAAAAGTATTGAGGAGTTCCTGCACCTAAATATAAACAGAAACGGCACCCAAAATGAGTACCGGCACCTATTTCAGTCCAAGTCATGCAATTTCAAAATAATGGGCAGGTTCTGGCACGTATCATTCCACACTGATACCATCTGCAGTAAACAGTAGTTATCACTGTGTAGGCTAGGCTACACTGTGTAGGCTACTCACTGTTAGCTAGCTAGCTTGCTAGCTAAAACTCACTAGCACTGGCTAACAAAAACAAGTAAAATGGCCAAACAAAGCTCACTGTAAAAAATGTCTCAAGAGACCTCATAAAGAAAATAACTTTGGAGCATTTGCGAAGTTATTTTATATTTATATTTTAATATTTATTTGGATCCCCATTAGCTGCTGCCAAGGCAGCGCTTCCTTGGGTCCAAACAGGGTTAAAACAATTACATCACAGCAAAACACAACAACAGCCTGCATTATAAATTACACAATACATCATACAAGACATTACTACATTATTATGCTATTATGACCCCATTTAGGTCCCGCTTTAAATTACATGCAGCTTATAAAGGTTTCATAAAGCCTTCAAATGCCTTCATAAACAATACATAAATGTGTTACAAATCATCTATAACTGTATGTCATGCTTTATAAAGGGTTCATAAATGTGGCATAACTGTGTGACATAACCCACTATGTCATATATGACATAAACCTGTGCTTTATAAAGGGTGACATAAGCACTGCTTAATAAAGGCCTTATAAGTCATTTTAAAATTCGATTCCTAGGACCACCCATACGTAAAAATGTATTAAATCATGGCTGTAAGTTGCTTTGGATAAAAGCGGCTGCTAAATGTTATATATTATATTACTATTAAACATTTCTAGGATGACCCAACTTCTTTCCCTCTTGGGTGCATAGTCAATATTGGACCTGACCTCAACTTTCCCCAAATTACATTGGTGAGGCCTTTTAAAATCTGTTTAAATGTTTTGCCTTCACCCAAAATCAATTTTCTCAGTTTTGTTTCTTATTTTTTCACTATTTTTTAATAGAAAAACAACATTTCATTTTCTGTGTTCACAACAATGCTTAAACCACTTCAGGGGATGACTTTTGAGGTCTGTGAAAAATCGAAGAAACTTAGATGCTTGAGTGTAGTTGCCCTTTAATTCAGTGTGCATGCCCTGGCTGTTGTTTGGCTTGAGGGTTTTCTGTAGCACAGTAATCGCACGTGATGATGGAATGGCTGGAGTAAAAGGCCAGCAACATTCGTATTATTCAGAGCCCCATGAAATGACACCATATATACATTCTACAGACCTTACTGAGAACTCTCTACAATAATTTTACTGTGGCACCCAAAACAGTTTTTGCTCTATAAGCCAATATGTATTACATATACAGTGATTCGCATTGGGAGCATTTATATGACCTTGGAACATGTTTTAAAACCCACATTTAATGCAAATGGCACTTGAACAAATATGAATCATTGTTAATGTTTAGACAATTATTTTTCATATCATTAATAAATACAGGTTGTTGACACTTTTATACTATTATGTGGTGGACTTTTATTTAGGAAATTTCAGAAATTCCGTGACCTGGAAGTACTTTTTTAGTGTCGATGACAAGATGCTGATCATGTGATGAGTTCGCAAATCAAATGCCCAATTGTGGTGCCACCGGACAGCGAAAAACAAGTAAGTGAACCTTTATTTATTGTAATTTAAATTAGTTTGTAGTAGTTGTGTTGAGTTAGATTACATACTGTAGCTACCTCAGTTGTTATATCAAATAATTTCGGTGACTTCACAGCAATTGCTAGATAGCTGAAATTTTCCAAGCTAGCGGCCTCAGCTAAATAAAAATCCCCTTAGATACAGCCACGTCTCAAAGTCAAGTCATGAGATTTGTAAATGACAGAGGAAAATGTAAAATGTAATGTAAATGAATATAATAATATGAATCTAATGGAGTTTCCCCATCTCCCCATTTAGAGTTTCTGGTGCAGCACAGAATTGCCCTTATCCAGGACAAGGCATTTCCTAACAGCCCTGCTTACTTTCTTTGTTGTTACTTTTAAGGTTGGAACCAACATGCAGTACCTCCAGCAGGCAGAGAGGCAAGAACCATTCGTCCACCAACTCATGGACAAGCTACACTATTTACAGCCCTGTGCAATCTTCAATGTAATTGCATTGCTGGACTTTTTGAAACAATGTATTTTGTATTGTTTTAAAAATGTACAAGTGAAAGGAAATGTATGGTTTAAACATGTCTTTAATGTTTATTTGCTTTAGCTGTTAGGGATAATTCCCTAAGTGTTAATACATTTGTGTTTACATCATTTAGCTTTTATATATGTGTTATGAATGACCAAAGGTGTCTGACTTTATAGTAAGTACAGCGTCATATGATACAAGGCATTTATGGATGTGTTATGAATGACTGAAGGTGTCTCACTTCAAATTAAGTATTACAGGATACTACATAAAGTGTCAATAAATAGGTTATTAACGTTCTGCTGATTTATGATTATTCTCTCATGATCCACAGGTTACTGTAGGGTGTGAGAGGTATTTCAATGGGTTGATGGAGCCTAGATGATTTGGAGTAGTCCAACCTGAGACCACCACACCAGGTGTTCCTCTTCTGTTCCCATGCTGGGACCAGGGCTTGATTACAACCTGTTACAATGGTGCCAACATTTTGTGGCTGATCTTTCAGCGGGGGAGTGGGTGAATGTGTCAATTACCTGATGGGCCCAACACCGCGCGGTATGGCTAATTCTTGTTGTCTGCTTGTTTGTGTACTGAGGAACATGTAACTTGGATCCAGAAGAAAGCCACTTTCAATTTCTTTAGGTTGGGGGCCTTTAATCAAGGTAAGTGTTTCTTGGTGTAAAGTCGTCCCCAGGCTATTGCACACTCAGCACATATAAGCCTGGGATATCAACCATTCAAAGTTGGCCTTTGTGGGAGTGACCATAGAATTATATAGGAGTGACCTTACTGAGTAAAGTATTTGTCATCGTCACTAATTAACACAGTAAAAAAGTCATACTTATGGCTAAACCCTGCCTATTTCCACAATGTATCTTCTTAAAATATTATTTTAAACCTAACCCTAACTAATCAAGGCCAAGTTTGATGCGTTGATCTACCAGACCTTCCGCACATTTGGGTGGAAGTGTCTGGGAACGAGATTACTCTATATCAATTGTTGATTGCATCGAAACTTAAAGACAGTTTCAGTTCATTCAGAGACAACTCTAAAGGTGATTTCGATAAAATCATTAAGCTTACAGATGATTTGATGGTCAAAAATGATATCCACAACTGGGATGTTACCAGTTCCTGAAACAGAAAACTGCCAGCAAGGTTTGTGGACTCGCATGTTACATCTACAGTGGGGAAAGCAGCCCCCATTAGGAGCAACTGGATTTACAGGCAATATGGAACAAGATATTGGATATACAATTTATGGAACTCAACAGTCGATTTCATACAGGATAATGAAGAAGGCCGCAGCTGCCAGCCTGCCCCAATCAGACTCATTTGGTCAAATGACAGCGATACAGCCATCCAGTACCCATGATGGCATTTTTATGGAATTGTTTTTGTACAGCAGCTTAAACGGAAGGTACATGAGAGTTAGTCCTATCCATCGCTCATCGAGGTGCTTGACACCTGTTCCAAATACATTTTTCCGAACATGAACAGGCTTCTTAGAGCCATCACCACTCTGCCTATCACCAGCTGCACTGTATAACGTCTATTCTACACTGTAAATGATCCATGCTCACAGGCCGCCTGAACAATTTGTCACTGCTCTCCTTTGAAAGACAACTGACTGAGTCATTGGATTATGATGATATCATTTCAATGTTCAACACCAAGCCCCGTAATCTTGTGCTGTGAGTCTGACAACAATGGTAGGCCTATGTTAAATTTTCTTTCACTGAACTGTATATTGTACTGCTTTATTGTACTGTACGTTGTAGCCTACTGTTATTATTTACATTACCTTTGTTTAGTGTAAGAGCGAGTAGGCCTAATATAATGCAAAGAAATCTGATCTGATTGGCCTCCACATATTGCTGGGCCTCAATGCGGTCTTTGGAACAGTGCTACCTTAGATGGCTGCACCAGACCAGTTGGTGGCAAAATATATGTCATTGGCACCAGTGGCACCATAGGATACTAGAGTAATAACTATTGATCAAGTGGACTTTGTCTCATGCAAAAGAATGTTCGATTTAATTATGCAGACGAACAATGTGAAATATTGTGAAAATAACACTGAAAATATTTCACAAATCTTAACATTAGTCAGATTGACCCCATAATTGGTATATAAACTCAATACATTAAGTAATGACATTGAGAATGATTACCTGTATTCAAAGATAACCAACCTACAGCTCTAAACACAACTTAACTTGCGTCAACCTTGTGGTATTGAGAGATAAACATGGTCATGATTGAACTGATTGCACATGAAGGAAGATAGTTCCTACATGATAGAGTGCTTGCTTTGTTATCCAACTGATCTTATGTCCTTTCTGGCATCCTGTGAACCTCACTCATTGCTACATTTAGCTACTCGCAGCTACATAAAAAGAAATAAAAAAGCTATGTGACACCATAATGTTTTTTAAGGCCTGCTTAAACAAAATTATCGATTTCTTTGTGGTGGTGTATTAA